ACCCCACGTCCCTCAGGACTGACACCCCAGGGGCCAGGACCCCATGTCCCTCAATCAGGGCTGACACCCCAGGGACCAGGACCCCACGTCCCCCAGGACTGACACCCCGGGGGCCAGGACCCCACGTCCTTCAGGACTGACACCCCAGGGACCGGGACCCCACGTCCCTCACTCAGGACTGACATCCCAGGGGCAGATGATATCTCACAGACTGGCACGGAGAGCACAGACCAGGAAAAGCAAGGCCCATGGAAGCAGAGGGACGGTCACCTTAGAGATGCAGGATCCTGGCTACAAATGACAGGCCTGCCTGGCCTGAGCCTGTTGTCACAGCAGGAAGGTAACAGGGGACAGAGGGAACGGACACCTGGGCTCTTTAGCCTTCGGGCTGTCAGGGCTGCTTCCCAAACAGTGTCAGCTTTCAAACTACACAGGTCTCCAGATTGCACACGCACAGAGCTTTCCAAGTCAGTTATACGTGCTCCCCACATCAGATGCTCCCTACAACATCAGATGCTCCCCACAACCCCAGGTGCTCCCAACATCAGATGCTCCCCATAACATCAGGTGCTCCCTATAACATTAGGTGCCCCCTACAATGCCAGATGCTCCCCTCAACACCAGGTGCTCCCAACAACCCCACGTGCTCCCTAACACCCCCAGGTACTCCCTACATCCCTAGGTGCTCCCCACAACCCCAGGTGCTCCCTACAATATTAGGTGCTCCCTACAATGCCAGATGCTCCCCACAACACCAGGTGCTCCCTACAACATCAGGTACTCCCCACAACATCAGATGCTCCCTGCAACGTCAGATGCTCCCCGCAGCCCTAGGTGCTCCCCACGACCAGTGACAATTGATACCTGACTGGACGACACTTTGATCCCCTTGTAGGGATGAAATCTCAACCCAGTTCATCTGTAGTCACTGGGCCGCACCAGAGAGGTGACCCACCTGACAGACCCCAGCTGCCCCCCGAAGGAAGGTGACCCAGCCTGAACCGATCTGCCCCTCCCTGGAACTCCCCTCTCCCACCCTGTGCCTGTAACCAGGGCTCCTCCCTCCTTGCCAAATGGGACGCAGCCCGTTTCACAAGTCACTGAACAAAGCCAGTACGGTCTTCAATGTTCACTCAGCCGAATTTGGGGTTTTAACGGCTCCTGAGAGCATAACCGTGTGTTATGCTCAGCACAGCACCGGCACAAAGCAGACGCTCGCTAAAGCACGTAGAATTGACCCACATTCGTAAACGCCTTCTCGATTTTCATCCCTGCAGGAAAGGAGTCCGGTCCGGGGCTCTGCACGCTGTAGGTTTGGGAGGGGGGGACGGTCTGGGGCTCTGCACG